TGTATACATAGTTACTACCATAAAGCACAAATCACCATTTAACAAGACTAATATTAAGACGAAGATAATTTGAAAAATAGTAAAAAATTAATACAGTGGGTAGTTACTAATATAAGTGGACGGACATCGGTGACCGCTCTGGCCGCTTTTGTTAGTACGAAAGAAAAAAACAAGGTAAGGTAAAACGTTTGTGCTTATACAGGATGTACTTATTAACGTTTTAATTTAATTTGTTTTTTTTTTTTTCTATTTTTAACTATTATATTAGTATTAGTACTATAGTTATTTTGCATAAAATGTTGTTTTAGTTTGAATTTTATGTTTTTGTGAGTTATTTTTTCTCTTAAGGATGTAGGCAGTTGGTTAATAAGGTACGGTATAAAATACTTTAATGTTCTTTTACCGTGTAAATTTCTATATTTTGGAAGCAACAACTTTGCGTTCGTGACACTACGAGTCTTAATTTCGTTACTATGTGATGTTTTCGTTTTCTTTAAATTTTTATTGAAAAATTCTTCAGTTAACAATGTTAGTTTAATCTTTTCATGAATAGGTATAACTTTACAAAATTCAAATAGTTTATGGTAATCATTTGTAAATTTCTTCTTTATGTTAATTGGTACTATTGTTTTTAATATACGTAATTGGAGAATATATATTTCATCAAGGTGAGTTTTATATGTCCTGCCGTAACTCGACAGTCCATATGATATTACCGATTCGGCTAGTGACTTATAAAGTAGTAATAGCATTTGATATGGAAATTTATATTTTATTATAGAAAATTTGGCCAGAATACATCTTAGTTTGTCACTTACTGCAGTAATATGTGCTTTCCAATTGAGTCGACTATCTATGATAAGTCCTAAGTATGTTTGTCTATCAACAAGATCTATCGAATCACATTTACAAGACATGTTCTTAGTTGCGCAGTTGTCATGCATACATTCATGAGAGTGAGCTATTACTTTTGGTATAAAAGAGCTTCTATTTTGACTAGAGCTGATATACATGAGTTTTGTCTTACTAAAATTTAAGATTAAGCCAGCATCGTGCGACCATTTGATCAGTAAGTCAAAGTCCTGTTGCAATATTATTTGTGCCTCGGTGACACTTTGTCCCGCAGCTACGAGGCAGGTGTCATCAGCGAATTGGTAGATCTCACACTTTTTTATTAGGTTAGCCAGACTATTTACATAAGTGAGGTAATGTAGCGGCCCAAGGACCGAACCTTGAGCCGTGCCTTTCTTTACCCTGACTGTATCGCTGATATCATCGCTGATTTTGACAATGAACTTTCTATCGTTAAGGTAGTCTTCACACCAGTTCAGTAATTTACCTCTAATCCCGCTGTCATGAAGACATTCTAATAGCCTGTCATGTCTCAGAACATCTAAAGCCTTACTATAGTCTATAAACACTACTAACACATGTCTTTTTTCATTTAGATGGTTATGAATACTGTCTGTGAATGCTGACAATAGTTGGGTGGTGTTCTTTTTTTGGTTGAAAACCATATTGTTTGTCAGTAAGTATTTTATTTTTTTCATAGAATGTATATATTTCGTTACATAAGTATTTTTCAATGATTTTATCTATGGTAGGCAAAATAGTAATTGGTCTATAATTGTTATAATCTAGCTTACTACCTTTTTTATGAATAGGCCTTACAAGTCCTATTTTTAGTTTAGATGGGTACTTACTATTTTGTACACATAGGTTAATTAAATTGGCAATTACCATTTTGATTTTTGTACAGAGCATTTTTATATCAATGGCTCTAATGTTATCTATTCCGGGGCTTTATTATTGTTCAAAGACATCATGATTTTTTTAACTGAGCAAGAATTTGCGGGCTTTAGTCGCATGGTAAAATTCGCGGAATATTTATATTCTGAGGTGTTTAGCAATGGTCTCGAGCATTTAGGGACAATTTGGTTTATGCTGTTGTCGAACGTTTGTGCGAATTTATTAGCTATATCTTTACAAGATGTATTCGTATTTTTAAATGAGTTCTGAATAATATCGTCAATGGATTGTTTGAGTCTTCCGGTTATTCGGTTTAGAATCTGCCAAAGTTGTCTCATATTGCTCTTATTTGATAGAATTTCAGACTTAATATATTTATTTTTAGTTTTATAAATTTAAATATTTGCGTAGTTTCTTGCTTTATTGTAATTTTGTTTTAAGATTAGGTTATTCGAATCTAATAATTTCTTGTATTTACGCGATTACACATTATAAATGAAACTAATTTTACGGATTTATCGCGTTTATTTTTAATTTTAATTCCCGACGTTTCGAACCCTTTACAGCGTTCATGGTCACGGGACAGACTGAGGTGTTCGACGTCTGATTGTCATAGTTAACCCGGGCTACCGTCAGTTTTTGAATTATTAATTTTGTGTCCGATCTATGCAGAGGGAGCTAATTGTATCTTGTCTTGCAGTAGTGGTTCGTTTGGGCCTAGATTTAATTTTATTGATGACAGGATCCCAAGCTGATGGTAGTACCCAACCTTCTTCTCTATTGAAATTAGGGTGTTTTTTTAATTTCAATAGCCTCGCGAATCATCCTTGGGAGGAATCGGTGTTCTTTTACAAGGATCTGTGGTTTGTCAAACCTGATGTAGTGGTTGGGCCTATTCAAAATGTGCTCACAAACTGCAGACTTGTTCAATCTATTGTGTTTAATGTCAGCTATATGTTCTTTCACGCGGGTTTTTTATTGCTCTTTTCGTTTGACCTATGTAAGAGAGCCCACATTCACAGTCAAGTTTGTACACTCCTGGATCTTGCAGAGGGATATTACACTTGACAGATGGTAAAAACTGACTAATCTTCTTCAGCGGCTTGTAGAATGTATTAATTGAAGCCTGCTTTAAGATATAGCCAATCTTGTCGGTGACTCCTCTGACGTATGGTAGAACAGCAGGTACTCGCTCCACTGTGGCTGGTTTCACTCGGTCACTGTGACGTAGGCGCGGTGCTCGTTTAGGCAATCCATACAAATAGATACCTAAACGGTGATTCTCACCACCATCCATCCCAGTTAGCTACCGTGGGTAAATCTTTGTTTCAGAGAGCACAAGGGATCTGTGACAAACAACACCTGGCCGCTGAGCTTCAACATGTCAAGCAAGTTCTGCATGACAACAAGCTTCGAGCACCGCGCCTACGTCACAGTGACCGAGTGAAACCAGCCACAGTGGAGCGAGTACCTGCTGTTCTACCATACGTCAGAGGAGTCACCGACAAGATTGGCTATATCTTAAAGCAGGCTTCAATTAATACATTCTACAAGCCGCTGAAGAAGATTAGTCAGTTTTTACCATCTGTCAAGTGTAATATCCCTCTGCAAGATCCAGGAGTGTACAAACTTGACTGTGAATGTGGACTCTCTTACATAGGTCAAACGAAAAGAGCAATAAAAAACCCGCGTGAAAGAACATATAGCTGACATTAAACACAATAGATTGAACAAGTCTGCAGTTTGTGAGCACATTTTGAATAGACCCAACCACTACATCAGGTTTGACAAACCACAGATCCTTGCAAAAGAACACCGATTCCTCCCAAGGATGATTCGCGAGGCTATTGCAATTAAAAAACACCCTAATTTCAATAGAGAAGAAGGTTGGGTACTACCATCAGCTTGGGATCCTGTCATCAATAAAATTAAATCTAGGCCCAAACGAACCACTACTGCAAGACAAGATACAATTAGCTCCCTCTGCATAGATCGGACACAAAATTAATAATTCAAAAACCTGACGGTAGCCCGGGTTAACTATGACAATCAGACGTCGAACACCTCAGTCTGTCCCGTGACCATGAACGCTGTAAAGGGTTCGAAACGTCGGGAATTAAAATTAAAAATAAACGTGATAAATCCGTAAAATTAGTTTCATTTATTCGAATCTTTTATCCATTGGTTAAATAATTTATCTCTATATCAAGCTCGTATAATTTTTTTATTAATCCACTCGTTATTACTTCGTAATGTGCTACCTTTCATTTTACTTTTATATTCAGAGTTCTTATAACATTCTTTAAATTTGGTATACAAATAATTATAAAGCTTTAGAGGGCATTTGATATCATACGATTCTTCCCAGCGGATGTTATTAAGTAACTTAGTAAGTAGTTGATTATTTATACATGTCTTATATTTAGGAGCAACCTGTATTCGCGCGCCATTACAAGCGAGTATTACAGCGCGATGGTCAGCCAGTGTAGTACCGAGTGCCGCCGTAAATAGGTCTTGTGAGCGGGATCGGGCATAGATGTGATCAATACAAGATTTACTTATTTTTCCGTTAGCCAATTCAATTCTGGTGTGTTCTGTGATCCCGCATACAAGGCCTATATTATATAACATGTTATTATATTTATGCTTTACAGGATTATCCGTTTTTAGATCTATGTTAGTGTCTCCTAATAAATATAACTCTGTGCTTTTAGTGAATTTTTCGAGTGAAGTTTCTAGTTCCTCAATAAATAGAATTTTGCTAGAGCTTGGTGGTCGATATACTGCACACAGATTTGCAGTAAAGTTCGATTGTGTGGTGACGGTGTACATGATACATTCGAAATATTTAGTCTTTATATTAGTTATACTGCATTTGTGTTTGTTATTTACATATAATACAATGCCACCACCCTTTCGAGACTTTCGCAACGCTGTGAACATTCGATATCCATAGATATGATATAAACAACTATTGCTCTCAGATATGTTAGCTTCAGTCACAATGACTACGTCGACACATTTTCTTGATAACAGAATTATTTGTTCTAGTGCGGAGAAGTTCTTAACCATAGATCGAATATTAATGTGTATGCATATTAAATTAAGTTGGTTATTAGGAATATAGTTTAAAAAATCATTTACATTTAGACAATCGGGGATCTCATTTATATCGTTGAAAGAACCAGCCATTTATTATTTATATATAGTACGAAAGAAGATGTATATTTACTTGTATTTATCATATTTCAATCCTTGGTTAAGGCGTATATGTCGTTAATGCTCCTTAAGGTATGTATTTTTTCGCCGTCGTTCTTGCGTGCTTTGACCAATCCTTTTTTAAACCATACGTACTTGTAGTTTTGTCCGACTTTTAACTCACGTTTAGCGTTCCACAGTAATTGTTTGTTTAGTTTTGTCATGGCTTCTCTCACGTATACAATACTTTTGTTATTTTTCTCCGTAGGGATAATATCTCCAATGGTAGGTTTGATACTTTTAGCGAGAGTAATCCAGTTTTCCTGTATATTTTCATCTATGAGCTCTACTAAAATGCTAGCAGTCTGATCCTTTTTTCCCTGGAGTCTCCGTGCACTTTTGATGTTTTCTTTAGGCTGATTAATCTTAAGAGCAATTGTTTCTACCACAGATTTAACGTCTTCATTTTTTAGGGTAGGTACATATGCAATTTCCACAAATTTTGCTAGCTTATCTTGTTCTATCTCATGGAGGCGTTGTTCCAAGGCACCTATACGGGTTTCCAAGTTATTATTTTTGTAAGTTAGTTCCGTATTCTTCCGTTCTAGTGCCTTAATAGTCTTCTTGAAAGCTTCTATACACTCCACTGCTTCATCAAGCTTGGCGCTATGGAACTGCAGCGAATCGCTTAATTGCGTCATTTCGCTTTTGATTGCTTTTTCAACTTCTTTCGTTATGTTACTTAATAACTTTTTAGCATTTATTTGGACAGATGTATCTTCCTCTTCGTCGTCATCATCTGGGGTGATGATGGATGAGTTACGTCTTGGATTTTCTTGCTGGCAATCTAGGCACGTCCACTCCAGACTGGGCGCAGCTTTCAGTGCAGCGATCTGTTTGTTGCTTAGTCCTGTACACTTTGTGTTCAGATGCACAATCCTTTCGCACTTACTGCACTCTAGACCCAGTGAAGATTTAGTTATACTTTTCTTACAATTATCGCACTTAGACATTTTTGTGAAATTATGTGGGTATCCGTGAAAGTTAGCTTTGGGTCGGAGCTTCCGTCACGTATAGATGTTCGTCGATGTTTTGACTTGACTCTGGTTATATAAATATTTATGTTCATCATCCAGGGGGTTGGGCAGAGTATATGATTTCGATTAAAGGTACTTTTCATGAAATAAAGTATCCCAATCGCTTAAGTAATAAATAAAATTGACATGTATATTTTATTTAACCAAAGGAACAAATACGAAATTATTAAAAAGTTCAACAATAATACGTTAAACATACAACAATTATTATAAACATTAATTTATCTTAAAAATATTATTAACTATTAGGTAGAGCCATGATAGCTCAGTGTCTGGGCGCTTTTAATTTAATTTACTCAAACAACCTGAGTTCGATCCCCGGTGCCGATCAATGAAATTGTTAAATTTTAGTGCTGACTTATCACGTGCTCAGCAGGGACAGAAAACATCGTGAGGAAACCTGCATATTTTCGAAATAGTAACAACAAAAATATTTCGAAGTTATAAGAAATGGTGGACTACGCCCTGATACCCTCTATATGTACATACTGTAGGAGGCTTTTGCCCAACTTTTAGGCTATTACTTTAATTACTTTAGTTTTCTTATGGACTATTTCTTACTCAGATTTATATTTAAATTATTAAAAAAAGCGATATACACCATATCAAGGAGATTACAAATATTTTAATGAGTGCTCTCAATTTTTAACAGACTGAAACGAAGGAAGTTATCAATTCAGATTTTTATATATATATTTTAATATATGTTCGGGCGGAGTTACTGGCATCCGTCATCTATAGACACGAATTTGCAAAATTATTTTTTTTGTTTGAAAGGGTTTAATTCCGAAATGGTCCAATGTACCTACATTTCAGATAGATCTGATGATGAGTTTCGGAGATAGATAACAGAACTCTTCAAATAATGACAGCAAATCAACCGCGATAGCTGCTATCCCATAAATATTCATTTGCCCAGTCATACCACATAACATCGGATTTAGACAATTATTACTCTGTTTTTGCGTGCTTAGCTATCATGCGTGTATTGTAAGCGTCAACTTGTCCGACAGTGGGAGTTTGGACTGCAACTCCAGCGGCAAAATCTTATAGCATCAGTATTCCTTGATGTTCGCAAAACAATTCAAGTTGAGCCCTTGTCAAATCTTTGTAAATAAACTTATAGCCAAACGAGTCCGAATTAAATTGTTATTTTCATGATTTTCGTCATTTTACCTATGTATGCCAGGCATCTCGTATGAGACAACAGGAAATGATTAGAGATTTTCTCCCTTATTTGCTTTTAATCATTAGCCTTTTTCAGTCCTGGTTTCGGTTTGATGCCGTTTTTTCATACGAGTAGCGCCTATTCTAGATCCACCCATATTTTATAATACCTAAGTATTAAAATTAAATCACTGAAAGAAAAACATGCAGTTTTTTAACAAAAAAAAAAAAGAACCGACTACAAAAAATTCTATTAACATTATTATAAACTAAAAAGTTTAAAAGTTACAGCCTATACATGTCCCACTGCTGGGCAAAGGCCTCCTCTATACAGAGGGTATCAGGGCATTGTCTGCCACGCGGCCCCACTGTGGATTGGCGGACTTCAAATATTTTCGAAATATTTTTTTTTATTATTATATCGAAAATATGCAGGTTCCTCACGATGTTTTCCTTCACCGCGGAGCACGTGATGCGTCAGCATTTAATGTTAAAAACTTCATTGGTGCCGGCACCGGGGATCGAACTCAGGTTGCATTAAAGGCGAACGCCCGGACACTGAGCTATCACGGCTATAAAAAAAGTTTATAATAATACTAAATCTAATGTAATCAAATCTAGAAAATCTAACCTATGTAACCTATCTTACCTATCCTCAAACAAAATTTAACAATTTTTGGAGCTCAAGGTAGTAAATATTGAGGTAACTTTTTGAAATTGTAATGTATTCAAATACATACAATTAATCGTATCATAAGCAAATAATTTGTTCCAATGTATAATTCTCATTTAAAAGTTTTCAAGCACCAAATTAAATAAATGGATACAATTTCTTGTCTATAGTCAATGCAAGTATTCAATGGAAATCGAAGACTAACTCCAAAGAAGAAAGTAAATACTTTATTTGCGATTTTCGAAAGAGATGTTACAATAAAACTTTGACCTTAACCCTTATACTATGTTGTCAATATTTTATAAAAGTTTTAATATAAATTTATAAATATTTAAGTTTAAATATTCAAATAAACATGTTATTAATGTAAGCCTTGCATTTAATAATTTTTTTTTTGCATTTCGTTTCGTAACAAATGATTGGGTATTACCGAAAATTAATTTGAACAGCTTAATAATTTAAAATGCTGGTTACGTACACTATTTTTGCGCTGGGAAATAACGTCATGCTGGTTATAAAATATCCTAATCTCTTTGAGGAGCAAACAGAAATCTACTACATAAGTTAGGAGAAAGCCGTATTTAATATGTATAGTTATTATTTACTCAATAACTCAATAATTCCTTTATGACTAGACGTCTAAGCTGCTTCGTCATTGAAAAAATAAAGAACAATATAGTTTATTATTCAGACAATGATTGAGAACAAAATAGGATTGTTGACACTTTATCCGTCAGCGATAAAGATTGGGGTCACGCGTTTGAATTTAAAATAAGGAACGGTTTGCTTCGAATTATTGCAGGTGATTCTATTGAAGATTGTGAGAAGTCTGAGTCGCTATTAGATTTATCAAAATCTTTACATTTCTGTAACTATAGTACACTAATTAGACTACTACAGCGTTGATTTTTCAAATATGTAAAATTGAAACTACTTTATAAGCCGTTTAAAGCCGTGATAGCTCAGTGTCCGGGCACTCGCCTTTAATTCAATATACTCGAGCAACTTGAGTTCGATCCCGGTGCCGGCACCAATGAAGTTTTTAACTTTAAGTGCTGACTTATCACGTGTTTCGCGGTGAAGGAAAACATTGTGAGGAAACCTGTATATTTCTGTTTATTTTCGAAATAATAACAAAAATTTTTTTTTCGAAGATATGTGAAGTCCGCCAAATCGCAGTGGGGTCACGTTGTGTACTATACCCTGATACCCTCTGTATAGAGGAGGCCTTTACCCAGCAGTGGGACATGTATAGGCTGTTACTTTCGGACACACATTTCGGACACATTTCTTACACAACATTCTCTAGTCCCAAACTAAGCAACGCTTGTACTATGGGTACTAGAAAACGGATAAACCTACTTAAACATACTTTTCTTTTGTAAATAAATACATATAATACATATATAAACACCCAAACACTGGAAAAACACAATGTTCATCACACAATATTTTTCCAGTAGTGGGATCGAACCCACACCCTCTGGCGCAGGAGGCAGGGTCACTACTCCCCACGCCAATTGGGTCGTTACTTTACTTTATAAGACATAAATATTCATGAACATAAAAAAATACCGTTGTACTCGTTCATTTTCACGTCTATTAGCGCGACTCCTAACACTGTCTATTAATTTTAATAATTTTACGTTTAGTAGGTTATAATTATACTTTAATTTAGTAACGAGGTGGTTGAGGGTTACTCGTATCATCATAAAATTATATCTAAGCCACGGACTAGAAAAGGACAGGACTCCGCTTTACGCACATCAATAGTGAAGCATTGTACGATAAAATATATTGTAATTCAGTCGACGACCATCGGGGTCCTGGTTCGAAAGGCAACCTCGATGCCCCTTAGATGACACACCATAGTGAAATGCACGCATGAGCACATGAGCGTCCCTACCCACAGCAGAGGGCTCAAACCCGTGGATTCTGGCCAGTCCACCGGTTCTGCGTCAGCAAATTTCAGCAGCATAAAAAAGTGACATTTCTTGTTTACCAGGGTGAATAAATAAAAATAGTTTGCTGAACATATTTTTTTTTCTACCAAATAAAATTGACATAAGATTCATTGTCCTTCAATCTTCTTCAATCGTGACGTATGCTAATTTTCATAACAAATATTATGGCCAACTTTCATCATCATGGGAGTGAAATGAAGTCGTAAAACTAATCAGTCAGTCTAGTTACTATAAATTTGAAGTCTTTAAAATATAAATTCAAGATCAAAATATGTATTCATTTTAGATAAAGATGTAATTCGAAAAGATGCACGGAAAATAATATTCGGTTATCTATTCCGTTTCGTTGGTTTTTGTTGAGAGCCTAAGCGGTAATTTAGAAAAGAAATTGTTATTTATTAATTTTGTTGGGTTAGCAGGTGCGACATGAAGATCTTTACTTGGGCAATTGGTATCAGTAAAACGCCACCACATTATATTATTATCATATAATTTAGGAAATATGTCTTGCTGTAGTGTGGTCAAAGGGACTTGGGAGAACAAGTGTCAACCACTCCATTCATGCTGCATATTAATGACAGCTCAGTTTCTTCAGCCGTGACCATCCAAACGACTGCACACTTGTGGGAGATAGATTATGAGGATTCGCGCCAATCTGGTACGAAAGGGAGTATCAAATGATTTCGATAGAGCCGCAATTAAATGTGACAACAATTACAAAACATTCGCAAAAGTAGACCTTCTACCTTGTCTCCTACGTAACTAAATATAATTTGAAATATTCAACCGTAACCGCCGTCTGATTTTGGAGGTAGATTTTTCATAGTAGAGTTTATAAATCTAAACTTTTATCAATGACAATTCGGCTATCCTCGCAAGGGTACTTGACACCGAGATAGCTATTGACCTTAAAAAGATCTGTAAAAATATTTATAAAATTGAATTAAAATATAAAAAAAATGTGAAATACGGGATTTACCATTCAACAAGCGGAATCAAAAATAATTATAATGTGGAAGAACTCATTAGTTTTAATCGCTCATCCTTTATCAGACCAAAGGCTTTTGTTAACAGAACAAACATGGGGAAACGATGCAACACAATGGAGATCG